ATAAATAAACTAAGACCATTAATAACAAACATTATACCCCTCTTAAATGACTGTTTCCAAGTGAGCCACAGTACATAGTTTGTGACTGGCAGCATAGTTAAAAGATCTTAAAAGGCAAATAATCTGTATTAAGAGTATCAATATTTAAGAGGCAAACTGGATGTATCCAGTGAAGAATTTGGATTGCAACCCATGTTAAAATTTGTCCAGTCTGCTTGTCATGGCCTTTCGAAATTCTGAAATAAGTTCAGCAAAATGACTCAGTGATAAGCTTTCTACATTCAATACCTAGGGATATGCAGCAGCCGAAAAAGACTTTTATAAATCTAAAAATCAAAGGTTTAAATATAAAAATACCAGCAGAGGGTGCTACTTTTATTTGCTCATAAATAAAAGCAGCAAGGCATATTTAAAATGGAAGTAACCCTAATATTCCTAACCTAACATTCTACCACATCCCCTCAAAAGACAACTGCTTTCTCTTCTTTTACTGCAAAGCAATTCTATAATTAGATACAGTAAACTAGAACAACAGAAGACAACCATTTGGAATCTGGATTAGATTAATAAACAAGAGAGGCTAAAATTACATTACCAGCATGAAAAGATCGTAAACCGCAGTCTTACACAGCTTCCCTCCAAAGTTTCATTATTGTAGGAACAGTGGAAACTTATTGCTGAAATCATCTTAGACCAGACATCACAGCAGTGTTTAAAACAAACAAAAAAAGCTGCAGAGACTGTTGTCATGAACTTCTAACCACAAATTTAGGGGCAAACCCTGACAAATGAAAACAGCAGTTATGGGAAAATATCAAGCTTTCCAGAATAAGTCACTATTGCCTTCAAAAGTCTTAATTTACTTCCATCTACTAAAAATGCCATATAAAAAAGAGCTGTAGAACCAAGAATCATCACAAAATAGAAAAGGAAGTCTGTTTAGGCCATCTTGCAGATGAATTAGCATAATTCAGTTTTTCAAAAAGAAAAGGAAAGACAAGATGTATATTTATCTTATATTTCAAATTTAGATACCACCCATCTCACGAAGAAGTGAAGATACAATAGGAACAGAAATAGTGAAAACACTGAAATAAATTCAAAACTATTAATATCCAATTTCATTGCAGCTATGAATTCTTGTTGACAATATTTTACTAGAATATATCAAGGAGAATATTAAACATATAAAACACAGCAATCCCTTTTGTCCTCACGCACGTTTGAATGAAAATACTTTAAAGTGGTATTATAAACATATATCACCAATTTGGAAACTGCAGATAAAAATGATGATAGAAGAGAATGAAGTAGAGAAGTAGTTGTGCCCCTTGCTCATTTGACCCACAACTTCCTACTCTTTCATTTTTGCTACTCCTGAATGTCCCTTCAGTTGTTGATCCTTTACTCTATGTTCTAGGATTCCCTTTGCCCTTCTGTTCATCAATTACTCCTTTTTCTCAGCCACCCAGAATTTATTCTGCTGTTGTCCACATGGTGTCACCAATTTCTATGTTTACTATTTGTCTTTTTGCTCTTCACCTGCATCCTATCAAATGTTTGAACATGTACTTATACATCTTGGTACTTCCACAGGCAATGTGTAAACAGAAAATCAATTAACTTATTGTCGACCACACAGCAGGAATAAAATGAGTAACAGTAGATGCCTGAGGTAATTATTCAAATTTGTGATCAATCATTATAACTATGTGTGTGTTTTCAAGCATAATGAAAATAATTAAAAATAATATGTTAAGCATACACATATGGAAAGACAACTTCCAAGTTATTGGATATTTCTGCATGTGATAGGCCAGGCATCTTAGCTTACTAAACCACAGTGTGAATTCTCATGTAGAGGCAAATACTGTAAATCAGCTTTAAGTCAGGCTTTGTTCACTTGTTTAAGAATGGCTTGTTGGAGCACAATTAAACAAGCTTAAGTATGGATGTCACAGAAAGCATTTGTTTACCTGCTAAGGCAAAGATGTAGCAAACCAAATACAAATGCTTGAGGTGACATTTTGTTACTGGTGTTATATCATTATTGTGAGCCATCAATAATGAAGTTTTTCACTCTTCAAAACAGCATGTAACTAATTTAAAGTAAACACACTGTAGCATACAGTTGCATTTGGTATGCATGGATATATACCGGTAAACTTGCAGTTGATGATTCACCTTTAAGAATTAAGCAATAAAGATCAAAACTTAAAAGAAAGGTGTGAACAAAAGCAACAAGAACCTAGTCAAGGTGAATGTATTACATACATTAAAAACATTTTTTCACTATGTAACAAAATGAAATTAAAACTTCATTACAATCTGAAGTTAAGAAAAATGGTCACTCAATAGGAATTAGATAAATGAAACATCAAGACTGTATCACATAAAAACGACATACTGTACTTTTCATAAGACTTATTAAGTGCACAACTTATGCTCTTCCAAAGCCTTGGGTGCAGCCTCCAGAGTTCTTCCCCAAATTGTCTCCCGGGCTGTAATTTTCATGTGACTCAAATGGTTAATAATAGTATACATTGGAAATTTGTATGTTAATTATATTTAATTTATATCCAATTTAAATTTAAAACTTTACTGTTTGTCCGGATGCCACCTACTTCTTTATCTTGATTTTTACTATTTCAGTACTCCATTCAAAATAAAAACAAGCCTCTTGCTCCAAAAAGTATTATACACTAATATTGGGCCATCTGACTGGGTGCTTTGCTTGCTTACTAAATATGATATCAGTTATTTCAGGAGTTAACTATAATCAAGTTGATATATCTATCTGTAGAAGTTAAAAATGGAAATTTAGAGGTAGTGGAACTATTCTCCACTGTTACTAGAAAAAGGAGGTTTAAAAAAGAAGTCTACAGCTGGCTCCATAGAATAGCATCAACCAAAATAAGCTCCTGCTGGATTTTTAAAATATATTACATTTTTAAGGCAAAAGTATTTTTAAATTAAGATGCCAGCTGACAATAATATTTAATCAATTAAATATTAAAATCAATTAAAATTTCCTTGGTGCTTGCACTGAGAAAGAAAAGTATTTGCACTATACAAATGAAAAAAGGGGAGAATTAGCTATCATCTCTCTATGTGTGCTTCTCTCTTGTTACATATGAACCCTTGCTATCTCTTACATTGACAAATAAAATTCTCAAATAAAGGTCATTTAGAATAACCAAAAACTAAAGATAAAAAACACTTGTCAAACTATTGCAGATGCCCAGAACTCTAGCCTGGCAACATCAAAATGATGCTACTGCACTGGAATGAGTTCAATATGCTGATAAAAAGGAAGCTAGTAGCCACACCTTATTTAGTAAGATATGTACACAGACATTCTATTTGTTGCTACAAATAAAACTTTCAAGAGGTATTCTTTCTAAATCCAAACAGTTCTTCTCCATTTTCTGTATCATATTTTATTTAACTTGACAAGTAAATGTAAGTCAGACACAATCTACACATAGCACTATAGTTCCTAATTAACTGTATTAATTGAGTGTTCATGTTTTCTAAGTCTGCTTGAAATAAGAGCTTTGAGGAAAATAACTAATATGGCCAGATTTCCACCACCACCACCACCATCATGGTAAATGCAAGAATCACTTCTTTCTAACTTCAAATGTATTTTATAAGGGCAAAGTTTGCCATACCCTCGTAGCTACATTTAACAAGTACATCAACAAGTTACAAAAAGCCCTTCCTGAGCTATCCAGCATCTTTCCCTATCTCACTGGGCTCTTATATAAATACTGTATCTTTTCCTGTCCATTCCTCATTCTATTATCTTAAATATTTTTTCAACTCTCTCTCATATCCCTATGTATTGATATTGCTTTGCCCTAGGGAAACAACATGGAATTTTTTTCCCCAATTTATTTATTAATCATTTTTTAAAGACGGAAAATTAAAACACTGGTTCAGGTATTAATACAGCATGGAGAAACAAAGGCCAGATGTTTTTTTTTAATTATTTGTGCAATTAGTGACAAAAGTTTTAGTTACCAAATAAGGGAACAGAATGAAAAATAAGATGCACATCTGAATTTAGCAGATGGTCCAGAAGTGATGAAAAACATTTTCATAAACAAATAAATAAATAAGGTCAATCAGGACCAAGAATAGTCCTTGGACCCTTTTGGAGAAGGAGTCAGGATCTTACCAGCAGCAACCTAGAAAATTCAAAACTGCCCAAGTAGACCAAGGAAACTGAGCAAGCTAGCATTGATTTGGGAGAATGGGCAAAGTACCTTCAATAACTGACCAATCAGAAGCTTTATACCTGTCCTCAAAAGGTATACAAAAAATCACATATGATGCAGTTAAAATTCAGGGGGACTAACAACAACAAAATTGCAGAGCCCAAGTTCTTCCTTGTCATCACCTTATCTGCTTCTATCTTCAGGTTTCCAATTGGACCAGCCATCTAATTAGAGCCTACAACATATGGAAAAAATCTTGGTATTCAGAAATATAAGACCAATTTTTATGCTCAGGGAATTACTTTTTAAATTTAAAATTAAATCCATTTTAATTTTAGTATACCTGTTTTTTTGAGTGCAGCTTCTGATGTGCAGCACTGAACCAAAGTACACACCTCTGTATGTAAGGCATCTATTCAAACAATAGGTGACTTCAAGAATTTGTGCTAAATGTAACCGTCAAACACTTTATGGTTTGTAAACTACAGCTTTTCTTTGGATGGATTCACACATCATGTTATGCCAAAAATAAAGTACGTTATGGCAAATAAGGTAAAAATTTCCAGCACGCAATCCATCCCCATTTAATCTGTTAATATGCAGGGGTAATTCATTTCAGCTATTAAATCAGAAGCACTGAAAGGAGGATATCCAAAAAAATCAACATGACAATAATTAAGCCAGAATTAAAGGATCTGCAAAGTATGGCCATTTGGAAGCTATTTTGTTAACTAAAAAGTATTTTACTGCAAGGACTAAGAAAGCCTTTCTAGTTACCTGGAGATTTTTTGCTTCCTCTTGTCTGCATCAAGTAAGCATGACGAGGCAGCAAAGGTGATGAGGGCAAAGAGACTGAAACGCCTTTGGCCAAGTTCATTCTGTAGACATCTTCAGATACAGGTTGGATGCCACTTTGAAAATCTGCACTGTGGCCAGATGTGGAAATGATCTGCAGTACATTTTCTGAACATGAATCACCTAAAACAAACAGTGAAAAATTAAGCTCCTTAGCAAATGAATCTGTAAGTCCCACAAAATTGACCAGAGCTGTATGAACATTCACCAATAAGGGACACATATCTTTCTGTTGTACTGGCAACAGAATAAAAATTAATTTTAGCGGCAATAGTTGCAGGAGAGCACTATAAACAGAAACAGTCAATGAACAGGACAAACCTTGCTTCATGTTCTAAGAACTAGAACAAAAATATTACTTTTAGGTTGCTCTGTACTGAAATCATGTTGCTGCACCAGTTTCAAAACTCTTAAATCTGAATTAGCATATACCATGCCAGAAACAATGTTGAAAAGAAAACTGCTATTCCAAGTTTTTTGCTAGGAACTGGATCATTGTTGTTGTTGTTGTTCATGTTTGCTCTCCTTAGCTGAAGGGTCTGTTTGTTCTCTTACAGCACAGCTTATCAATGCATGATGCAATTGCAGGGCTGTGGTTTTCAGCCAGCTTGTCACAAAGCCTAACACTGATTTGGGATGAGAGGTAGTGACTGCCACAAGGTCACCCAGCTGGCTTTGGCAGCTAAGGGAGGATTATAATCTGGGTCATCCAGCACCTTTACCACTATACCACGCTATCTGTCTGCCAGCAAGTGGGATAAAAAGCTGAAAACTAACATGTTTTTCCCCTCTTTTTATTAAGAGAATTCTCCCTCATAAAGGAAGAGTTGGCCCCAATGCTATGGAATGATGTGTGCGTGTGTGTGTGTGCGCGCGCGCATGCGTGTATGTGCCTTCCAGTCAATTTTTGACTCCTGGCAACTGCCTGGACTATACCCTCTTATTTTAACCAGTTTTGGGGGTGGATAGTAGACCTGGGTCAAACCTTAAATTTTGATGTTTAATGTTTTATTTTTATTATGCAAGAGTTAGGGTGGCATAGGAATATTGTAAATAAATAAACTCCAATAATTTTTATTTTTCTAGGTCTGCAATATTAGGTACACCTGCTTTATGGAGGATCAGCCTCATCTATTTCTAAATAAATACTCACAAGACTCACAGAACACCTGCAAGCAAAACTCACTATGTGTAAAAATAAAACAGCCAAGCCAGGTGGTTCACACTGATACAGTATTCAAAGTGGGCTAAGATGTCATGAGTCTTCCTTATCGACAAACAAGATTGAACATGGCATAAGCTATCCTGCTTCAAAAATGAATCGGTAACATTAGCTCTAGAGAGAGCCAGTTTGGTGTAGAGGTTAAGGCACCAGGCTAGAAACTGGGAGACTATGAGTTCTAGCTGTGCTCTCAGCACAAAGCCAACTGGGCGACTTTGGGCCAGTCACTCTCTCTCAGCCCTAGGAAGTAGGAAATGGCAAACCATTTCCAAAATCTTGCCAAGAAAACTGCAGGAACTTGTCCAGGCAGTGGCCTGGAGTCAACACTGACTTGAAGGTACCAAGAAAAGGAAAAAAAAGAAGAAAAAAATTAAAATATTAAAAGAATACAGGTAGTCCTCAACTTATGACCACAATAGGGACTGGAAAAATTCATCATTAAGCTGTGCGGTCATTAAGCAAGGCATCACGTGACTGCACCTGATTTTACAACACTTTTGTGGTGGTCATTAAGCGAATTGCTATGATAGTTAAGTGAATTACATGGTTCCCCATTGATTTTGTTTGTCAGAAGCCGGCTGGGAAGGTTGCAAATGGTGAGCACATGACCCTGGGACCCTGCAACTGTCATAAATACACGCCAGTTGCCAAGCTCTTGAATTTTGATCATGTGACCGTGGGGACGCCGCAATGGTCGTTAAGTGCAAGGACCAGTCATAACTTTTTTCAACATTGTAGTAACTTTGAATGGTCGCTAAATGAACAGTCGTAAGTCAAGGACTATCTGTAAAGATTCAGATTTCCTTCTGTATAATAAAAAATAAAGATTAAGATTAAGGAATTATAACTACATACTGTGGTAGCATTTTGAAATTATGCATCATAGATTATTTTTACAAGAAGGTCATGGCAAGGGGACAAGCTCCTTTGATCATCCCTAGTCCCAACCACTTAGAAACAGCATCTGTACGGAGTTTGCTTCCCTAACCTCAAAAGAACACTTGGCTCTAAGAGCCAGTTGCCATAGGATGCCAGAACTGAAGAGAAGGATATGCTGTCCTCATTCATCATCCAAAGAACTGCTAGGAGGTGGGAAAGTTTGTTTTGTTTTACAGCAGTCTGTTGCAGAAGACCAACTATAAATCTTCAAAATAAATAGAACTTGGAAACCTTGCAACAAAATGTTGTAGTAGAGGTTTTTCCAAATTACATGAACTTATTTCTTTCTCTTGCTGAAATCTGGCCAGTAATTCTGAGACTTATAATCCCAGCACATCTGGAGGGCACTGGGTTGGGGAAGGCTGATCTGGAATCTTGTTGCTAGGTCTGTATATTTCATAGAACTAATGACAGAAAAGTCCCACTATCACAGTCTACAGCTGCCAATTTCTAGCCACTGAATGTCTCTGTGTTCTGATTATCATTAACTACATGCACGCCAATAAATCAGTTTAACAGCTGGTATGTTTTACATCTTGTATAGTACTCTATAACAGAAGACAGAGATTAGAATAAAGGGAAAAAAACAAACACTAAGAAAATTGGCTGGTGTGGGTCTTCCGGGCTGTGTGGCCGTGTTCTGGAAGTTTTGTTTCCTA